GCTGCAGCTCGGGAGGCACCTGGCACGTAGGTACATGTGAAGATTCAGGAAGAGTCAAAAAACACAATCTTCCAGCAAATGTACTAATTCCAGCCACGAAGTTAACTGTTCATATTTTATGACTTCAATAGGTTTACACAAATAATGAGAAAATACTTAAAAAAAAGATTTCCATTGCCATATATTTTTGCTGAGGGCCACTAAGAATCCCAAATGAGTGGATCTGGAACTCTCATACCTTAACTGAAGGTGGATGGAGCTTTAAAGCTTTATAGGAAATATCATTTCCCATAGCCTAGCTCTGTTTGAGGGCAGCACTGCAAAGAAGTTCATTGTCCAGTGAGGTGTTAATGTAATTTTATGTTTTTAATTTCCTTGGTTTTGAAACCACCCAAAGACACAATTTAATTGATATGCATGCTATCATTTGAATACTTCCAACTGGGCTTTTTAAATTCACACTTTACTGAAATCGGCAGGGTGGGAAAGGAGTGACTCTCCTCTACATTTTACTTGTAGTATTTGACTGGTAACAGCATCACTTTACTGGCCATTAACTTAGTCTTTTTACAGACTCTTACTATTTCTGTGTTATTTCAATAGGAAAAAGAGATTTTTTAAGTGACAATCTAGAAATCTAGAATTAACAGAATATTACAGAGACTCCAAAATCACTCTTCAGTTCTTCCTGAGACATTTCTTGGTTAGTTTTTTGTTGTCTTCTGAGATTTCTTTACAGGATGCGTTATAAAGGAAATATAGTCTTCCTCACTCAAACCCAGCATTAGCCTATGAGCACCTGTCCTTGTGTCTGATGTCAATCCATGCACAGGAAATACAGTTACTAAAAGCATGTTCTGCTAAGACCTGAGCAAATACACTTGCAGTGACAGACCTTTCAGATGCTAATCTTTTCCACCCAAACAAAGTACGGGTATTCACCTCTACCAAGACTTTCCCCAAGAAAGTCTTTTAGTCTTTTCAGTATTGCTTACTCCTTCTGACTATAAGAAAGGTACCTCTTCAACTAAGCAGTAACTCAGAAGAAAGCGTAAATTTTCTTTACATTTGAGCACTTTTATTTAACTGAACAATTCTTAAATTGACCATGTCTAACCTGAGGTGAAAATGTGAAAAATTACAGTCAAAGAGACTTTGCATAACACATGTGAGGACACGACCTTGAAGAGAAATGGATTTGCAACATTTATATACTGGATACTTCCAGTGCCCTGCTAGAGTAACTAACTTTCTACTTTTCATCTAAGAGTTATAGGTGAAACACTATAGACTGTACTTCAGGGACTTCATGGGTTAACTTGCTGTTGTAGTTATTCTTTGACCAAAGTTCTGTCTGATATATTTTGCGAAATTGTCGAAATCCTGCTGTAGTATTGATTTCTCCCTTTTTGAAAAGCTCTCACCCATTCAGTAAGCTCCAAGGACCCCTTGTCCCAGCTCAATTCATTCTAAAATGCAGCTGGGATATGTTATTCCTGACACCAGTCTTACAGTTACTAGCTGATGTCAGAGATATAAGACGGTTTTAGGAACAGAAAGGGAAATGTTTCTTTACCACAGAGAAATTTACAGTAATTCTTAAAGCCCTTGGATCACTGTTTTGCCCAATGAAAGGGATTTTTTCCTTATTCTGTTTCTCCTTGAAAACACCTCCTTTTCCATTTACTGGGCACTTAACAATAGCTACATTGAATTTATTAAAAGGAGAGTATTGGCATTATAATCCCAAGCCTGCAGAACTATTACAACTAATGAAAAGACACAAGTAGATACACAGAAAAAAGTACATTAACCATCCAGGCAGCATGGTCCAGAGGTTCTCTTCTCACAACGACGATCTGCAAGATAGGTTCTACACCAAGGCTTTCAAATTACCTTAAAATCTTCACTGTTAATATTAAGCTGAATTGAATTGAAGGCTTCAGGGATTTCAGCCAAAGAACATACCTGCTGAGGGGACAGTCTTGAAAACAGCTACTCACGTGAGTAAAGTTTTTTGTCAAACGTCTTCTGAAAGTGTGTCCTTCAACCCACTTTTTTGTGCTTTGCTGCCCGGTAAGTGCATATCTTTAATTACCCCCATTATCTTCAGTCTAATTTCAGAGAAGAAAGACTACTGCTTGAAGAAAAACACTTCTTATTATGGTGCAGTATCACTGCTTCTTAGGTTAGCTTAGTCAGTTATTTTCTTCTATTATAATGCCAAATGTTATTTAGATTTCAGTCATTTAGTAATGCTACACTGAACACATCAAGGATTCTGAAAAATTCCATACCTACTAGCTGCCTCTTCATTTTCATAATAATCACATATTGATATCCTTTTTTCCCCAAAATTGCACACACTGTTATTTAAAAAATATCTTAGTGTCTTAACACAGTTAAAGAGATTATGATGCAATGAACAGCAGTCTCCAAAAACATTCTTTCGTGTTATTAAGATACAGAAAATCTAGTTAAAATTCTTTCAGCTTTTAAG